TACAATATCACAGAAATAGAAGATTTCACTGTACTCACGCTGGTATGCATGACGAATTGGAGTATCTCGCTGAAGTATCGATGAACTAGGAATATTGGTGGTGGAATGCAGAAAGCCTAAATTGCTTGAGATGTGGAAGGAACTCTTGATCTTGAAAATGAAGCTCGTTGCCTTATAGCAAATGATCAGTCTCAAATTAAAAAAAACAAATTTCGGTTATTTTCGTCAATCATCTGGAGTTTGTTTCCATTGTCAACTCATCAGAGAGGCCTCTCATAGAAAATTCGGTAGCATTTTTTACATGTAAATTTATTTTCAATCAGTAGGCTTCCAGGAAAAAAATGTAAAATGAAAGTTCTTTAGTTTGGTTTTTGAAGATTTGGATTGAAATACGTTAAATTGAGCTAAATACCTATAGCAATCCTTCGTACATAAGAACTCTATTCTTTCTAGTTCATTGTCTTTCACGAAAGTGGTTTTGCTGAAATCTGATTTTTGAATGGAAGAAAGTACAAGTTGTCATGACCTATTAAAAACTCCCGAATTAGCACCAGCTTTGTGCATTTTGCGAGATTTCTAATTCATTTGTTGAACTGAGATTATTTTTTTTAAACTAAGCATTCTTTGTTGTTAAGCCGAAACAATTATTTTGTTATAAGCTGATTTCTCTAATGAAGTGAAACTATCAATTTCTCGTCGTGAAGATATTTTGGTAGAAGACATTCACTTTCAACTGGCCCGCCCTCGCAAGAAACCTTTCATCCGTGTTCACTCATAAAACATGAAAAGGTGAAGCTTATCTGTTAAGCAAAGCAAATGTTTTCCTTTGAAACAGTTGTCTTTACAAGACAATTCTGAGGTTATCAAGATATTCCATATCTGATAAATACAACATACAACCATGAAAAGGATTAGCTGCAAAGGGAGGATTAGAAGGTAAAATCCGCTACCCAATTTATACTTATTACACTGTCAAATGGTTGCTCTCATCTAGAAAAAAAAAATCCCAGCTAATTGCATACCTGTAGAACATCATAAATAGCCAACCCAGCATCTTGTATGGCAGCTTGACGAAGTGCTGTAGAGAAGTTATAGTATTCCGAGCTATGATGTATGGTATGCAGGCCCCAGAAAAAGCCAGCTTCTGCAAATAGCGAAACTTATGTGAAATGGGCTGAAAATTATAAGAGTGTAGGCTCTGTTGTAGAATGATTACCGTGCACAGCGCGATGTCCCAAATAATACATCAAGTCCTGGAATACTAAACAGAGCAACCATGTCCATGGTGATTCCCATGGTAATTCAATGAGTCGAAAGTTATTCCAGATAAAAACATATAGGAAAATAGCTACAGTTCGCCCACCAAATCTGAAACAATCAATTGCTTCCTGCTTTAATCTAAATTGTAACACACTGTGTATGACATTGACCATTCATCTTGGTTCACCCTGTCGGGGCTTGAACGTAGCCCGTATGTTCCACGTGCCACTATTCTGTGTTTTTGGGATCGTTAGGAGAATTTAAG